CCTGCCTAGGACATTTATCTGCCCCGCCCGGTGTTTTTGCTGCTGCTGCCTGTCCTGCTTAGCAGCCGACTCATCCCTGGGCCTGCAATCCGGCCCTCCAACCGTCTGAGGGACAGTGAACTGGCCCCCTGTTTTAAAAGTCTGAGGACCTCTGTTCTTGATTATTGTAGCTTTATAATAAGTCTCGAGGTCAGGAACTAAAAAAATCCTCCATATATGGTCTTGTTTTATCAAAATTGTTTTGATCCTTTCCATTTCCAAATGATGGAGAGGGGCATGGTTTTGCTCTTCCCGGGCTAGAGTGCAGTCGCACGATTATAATTCACCGCAATCGGCAATCTCAAACTCCTGGGCTCCCTGGATCCTCCTGCCTCGGCCTCAGGAGTTGGCTGGGACTAGAACCTCGCCTGGCTAATTTTTCTATTTTTAGTAGGGATGGGTCTTGAACTCCTGCCCTCAAACGATCCTCCCAACTCAGCCTCTGAGAGTGTTAGCATTACAGACGCGAGCCACTGTCCAGCCTCTTTCAGGTATTTTTAGTTTATCGGTGGCTAGGTCCTTTACCTAACATGATGTACAGTATCAGGTTAATAAAATCAGTGTCACGTCCTTAAAAGAAAAAAAAAGGGGCTAAGCCTTTCACGAGGGGCGGGATTTCCCTTTGGGGTCACCAGAAGAGGGCGGGAACAAGACCAAAGCTTCCGCTTTCATTTCTGCAATTATTAAGTCAACCATTCTCATTAAAGGAATACCGCAGAAGAGTGATTTCTGTCGGCAAACGAGTCCAACTGAGACAGGAATGCCATAATGTCGCACCGTCATGTGTATAAAAGCTCAAAAGCCAATCAGATGACTTGCGTTCTGGCAGAACATTAAATTACAATTCAGCTAACCTGTCAGTTTTGTTCTCTTTGTCTCCAAAATGATGAACTTCTGAATTAGGTTCTACCCCTTCCATTCGTAGCCAGTGGTTTGGTCCGACCTTAATACTGACAGAAGGTGCGCGCTGCGTCTGCGCAGAAAGCTGGCCGTGGGGGGGTGGGGGGAGGAACATGGCGCAAGCTCTGTCTGAGGAGGAGTTTCAGCGGATGCAGGTGTCTCTCGCGGTGGGAAAGACCACCGGGTTAGGCTACCGGGGGTTGGGATAGAGGGAGGTTGTGTCACTAGCTCTGAGAACAGGTTGGTTGGGGCGGATTCAGAGTGTAAGGGGTTGATCTGGAGAAGGAAAACTGAGGCTCTGAGTGGGAGAGTATTGGATTCTGAGGTACTGTGGTGGCTCTGAAGGTTGGATTCTGTTAGCCTTGTGGGCGGGGGAGACCGTCTTTGAGTAGGCGGTACTTTATTCAGACTTGAAAGGGACAAGACTTTCAGGCCCGTGCGGGGGACACAGGCCATCGCTGGGTGATGATAATGTTGGGCATTGAGAATGAGATCCTGAGAAGGTGAAACCATTTTGCCTGGAGAGGAAGGAAGCGGGTGTTGGGCGGTTTGCGTCATGACGGCGGGGGGGGGGGAGCCCTTGAGAGGGCAATACCATTAGCCGGTGGGAGGTAGAAAGTTTGTGAGAAATACCATTATACCTGGGGATCGAGGAAAGACCCCAGATGTTGTCGGTTTTCTTGGTTGGTGGAGTTCTTGTATGAGGGGGAGTACCATTGGATGATTAAGGGTGATTGCATTAGGCCTGAGGTGAAGAAGGCCCTGAATGGGTAATAACAACAGTTCCTATTGGGGAAAGGAGGTGAAAAAATGAAACCTTGGACTACATGGAGGGGAGATCACTGGGCTTTTGGGGGAACCCTCTGACCACTTGATTCTTTTGGGAGGGGGAACTCTTGACAGAATGAAAGGCTATAGCATTGTACCATGAGTAGACCCTTGTTGAGAGAGTTCCTCCCTGGGGGAGACTCTGAGATAGGGAGACCCTGAGTAAGGTACTATGGGGGAGAAGGGAGGAACTCTGAATGAGGGAAACCAGGTATCCCTGTATGAGGAATATTGAGGCTAGATAGAAGGGTGAACTCATTGGACCATGAATGAAGAAGATTAATCTAACTAACCCACCCAAGGCTTTGTAGAGGAGTCACTGTGAAGGGTAGGGGCCATCTCATTGAATCATGACTGGATAAATCTTGAAGGGAGTAGGAGGGAACCCTTAAGTGAGGAAGGTTGGTCTCACTGGGTTGTGAGTGAGGGAAAACTATTGGACTCTGTTGGAGAGGGACTCTGAGGGGGTTTAAAGTGTATTCTAGTTGAATCAGGACATAGGAAGATAGATCACTGGGTCCTGGGAAGGATGTGGGTGGGCAAGATTCTGTAGAGGACAAGCCCTCTGACCTCCAGCAGACTACCAGGGGGGATGGAGGCTGGTGCCATGTGAGGGAGGGAGGAAGGGAAAGGTCCTGATTGGGTAAGGGACAGTGAGTAGGTCTGGGAAGAGCCAGAAAATAGGTCCTACAGGGCTGGAAGAGAGGAGTTTGCTGTTTGGAATGGCTCATGCTTCACTTCTCTTAACTCTTTTTTTTTTT